CTTCTTCAGCCATCTCAGCGAGGTGCTGGCGGCGCTCGGCTCGAACTGCTTTGGCTGCGGCGCTGGCGGCCTCGTCGAACCTGGACTGGAGGCGGCCGTAGGCGGGGGTGGTCTGACCCGCGTCGAGGGCCATGCGTCTCTGGATCTCGTGCTTCAGGTCTATCAGGGCCAAGGTCTCATCCTTCAGCTTCGGCCTGTTCACCTTCGTCGGCTGGAGGAGGTAGTGCGGGGCCGCGGCCTCGATCACCGTGTGCTCCAGCGCATTGAAATAGTCGGGGGGGCGTGCCGTGCTGCTGGCCCTCCCCACAGACCCGATGCCACGGTTGGGTTAGGTTGCGTTGGTGGAGAAGAGTCTGGAGGTGGTCGCGCATCGCAAATAGGCGAGGTGGGACGTCGGCATTCTCATCACTCAGTAGGCGTAGGTTCTGCACAAGAGCTTCGCGATCCCATCTAACTGGCTTGGGTTCGAGAAATCTTTCTGCACGCGCGCCAGCGTAGATGTGGGCTTCAACTGGGCGGCGGTCTCGGTATCCTCCAAGGCTAACTGGTAAATATTTTAGGGGTGGGCCTTGGTGCCGTAGGCTCTGCACAATCTAGCACACATGTAGTCGACGGTCGTCCAGCCCTTGCCGATCACATGCTTCCACGCACCATTCTGTCTCGCACGCTTGCCGAAGGTGTTGAAGGCGGACGGGTGGATCGTCTGGAGGAGTTCTAGCAAGCGGGCACCGTTGCCGTTCAAGCCGGCGCGCGCGCGGCGCTGGCCCGCAAAGCCGACGCGCGGGAGCTGGGGCGCCAGGGCAGCATTCGCATCCATGGTCATCACTAGGGCGACACGCTGCGGCAACTGGCTCAGGGCGGACCTGCACGTGTCCCAAAAGCGGTCCTAGAGGTCGCGGTGGGCGATGCTCCTCTGGCGTTGGTCCTCGCCCGCCTTCGCGGGTCCAACTTCGTTGAGGGGGGCGTAACTGCTCAAGATGTATACGTCTCTTCCTTTGGGTCCCTTACGTGTGAGGCGAATGCCGCGTAGTCGGCCGTCCAGCTAAGCGCGAGATACTCTAAGTTCTGAAGGGGCGAATATGCGGAGGTCAAAGGCGATCAAGCAGCCATCTCTGCTCGTTCGTGTCGTGCGCGGGGTAGGGATGATTCTGTAGCCTTCAGGAGTCCAGGGAATGCTCAGCTCCATGAGGGTGCTCTGGAGGCTGACGACGGCCACTCCCCTGGATCTCGCAAGCCCGAGAATCTCCGCCAAGCATCTGCCCGAAGTAGGCTCTCGCAGTTGTAGGTCCAAAAGGTGAGCTGCTGGGTGTGGCGGTGGTCTCGGCGGCGGCGGTGATGATAATCTACGGCGGCGCTGGTGGCCGCGCTTGGTGCAGTTGGCGATGTACGAGCTGGCGTCGAAGCCAAACGCGTAGACGTCGGTCTTGCTCCTGGAGCTGTGAATTCATGCAATACTGGAAGAAGTGCAGCTGCCGTGGCTCTGGTATACCTCTTGCCATGGTACCACACCTGCCCCTCCAATCTCAATGTTCGCACGGCCCGTCGAAGGGCCCTTTTGCCACCCATATGCACTTGCTCCCTGGGGGCCGCTGGCGGCATTGTCGATCTTACCTGCAGGCGCAGGACCGTCGCGCAGCGATGGAGCGCTCACCTCGCCGACCTCAGGGTTCTTGGAGGTCTTCCCCATCACGCGCGCCTCGCAGCGCTGGCCATGGCGGCTGAAGGGAAGAGGGTCGGCGTTCGGGCCGGGACTTGCGACCCAGCACGCGCGCGAGCACGCTCTGTGTCACTCGAGCCGTCGAGGCTTCCGCCGCCCTTCCGCCGGCTTCCGCCGGCGGAAGCGGCCTCGTTTTGCACCCGCCGACCTTCCGCGGCGGAAGATGGCAACTCCGGCAGAAGGAGTCCGACAGGGCGAGCCCCTCGAGGCGGAAGGTCTTCGGTGGACCCCGACAGGGAAAGGACTCGACAACGCGCCGCGCCCCGGGGTCCGCGAGCGACCCGGGGCCCAACCTGCTCGGGCGAGGCCCGCCGCGGGCGGACACCGCGGCCCTGGCGGGGGGCGTCGCAGGCCGCGTCGCTCGGACACAAGCGGGAGGCCGCGTGCGAGGCGACATTGGGGAGGAGGCCCCTGACCGTCCGAAGCTCCGACGCCGCGGCCCACCAGAGGGGAGCCACTCGATGCTTGCAGGCCCCGGCGGAGGCGCAGGCCTCGCGAGGGATGGGCAGGGCGGGGCGCCGCGGCAGCATGGGCCAGGTCGCATGGCCCAGCGCCGTCTCCCAAACGCGCCCAGCGCAGAGCTCTCGCCAGCTCCTCCTCGAGGGCGAGACGGCGGCGCCGCGCGCCGCGCGTGGAAAACCGCGCCGCGCAGGCCCGCCCGTCGATGGAAAGCCCTGCGAAGTCGCCGGGGTCGACTCGACGCCCCCCTCCGCGGCTTCATGCGCAATTTTGGACGCCCGAAATGGGCACGGAAAGAATGGGTACAATGCCCAACAACAAAAGTTGTCCCAAACCAACAGCGGCCGCTGTTGGGCAGGCGGCCTCCTGTCTCGAACGGACACAGGCCGCGGCGGCGAGGACAGCGAGTCCTGTTCACAATGAACAGGAACTGCTGTTGGGCAGTGTACCCATTCTTTCCGTGCCCATTTCAGGCGTCCAGCATGCGCAATGAACCCTGCAGCCTGGGATCTTCGCATCCCGGCCGCCTGGGCCCTCGACCAGGAGGAGTGCTCGGACGAACGGGCGCTGGCCAACTCCACGGCAGAGGCGCCCGCGACCGGCCAGGACACCAGGCCCCTGTTGCAGGGCGAGACGGCGGTGGAATCACTGCCGCGCATCGCGGCACAGCCGCAGGGCTCGCGAGAGCCCCCGCGGGGGTAAAGGTCAGCCAGACAGGCGCCGGCCGCGATGCAGCTGCTCTCCAAGTGCTTCAGGCGCAGCTCCTGCGTGGCGGTCGGGGGTCCAGCCGCGCGGCCACTGCGGCTGGAAATCAAGCCCAGGGCGGAGATGCCGTCGCTGGCCCGATCGCGAGCACGGCGGCGGCGCAGCCTCACCGAGCGACAGGGCGACAACCACCGACACCTCGGGCAGGAACTTGTAAGGCGAGGGGCGGGGGCGCATCACGCCGGCACGGCATCCCGTCGAGGCCCGAAACGCATGGCGCACGCGGAGGAGCAGGCAACCGAGTCCGAGAGCGGGCGGCGCCACGCTACTCGTCCTCGTTGCCGCCCTTGGCCTCTCTCATCTGCCAGGCCAGCGAACGCTCTCCACGCGCTTTCCTCCATTCCTTTCAGGATTGGCAACTTCGCCATCACTAGAAGATGCGATCGCGATGACGTTATGCGCGCGGCTGTGGTTCACGGGCGACGAGCTCCAGGCTGGCGAGGCTGGTGATGTACAGCTGGTCGTAGCACATCGCTGTCTCGACTCTTTGGAAACTCCAGAGGAGTCGAGACCACGATGTTGTTCAATGTGAATTGAATGATGGTCCTCCGCTGCGCTTGATGACCGAGCGCGCTGCCACCGTTTTCCTGCATGATAACCGCCGTCCAGCACGCGGTCCGAGGTCCAGGGACGGGGCAGTCACCCCAAACGGCCGGAGGCAGCAAGGCGACGGCCTCTGCGACGGGCCTGTGCATCTGTTCGTTGACGCCGTAGTGGGCGGGCAGGGCGCGGCAATCATCTCAGCGCCTCCACGTCCGCCTAGGGTTCCTCCGTCGAGGGCTTTGGCAGCAGGAGGCGTGCAAGCTGGGCCCGGCCGAACGCGGCCAGCCCGCCAGCGGCTCCTACGCCCAAGTCCAAACCCCCAGGCCCGCTGGCTGCCGGAGGCGGGGTGGTGGGTGGCGGGAGCGGCGCCGCGACCGCCGCGACTCCCGCGCTGGCAGGCTGGCATCTGCACCAGCGCCCGCGCCCGCCGTAACGACAGCGCCCTGGGCGGCACGGAGCTGGGCGTCGCGGGTCGCCACCAGCCCCTCGCCATCGGCACGAATCCGAGGAACTGCTTCCTGGTACGCCGCGCCTGCTGGAAGTCGTAGATCGCGAGGCCCGCTGCCGCAGTGGGGCGGGCGCCCCCAGGCCCGTAGTGGTACCAGGTCGTACCAGGTAGCGATGTCCTCGAAGTGCTCGATTGAGACGTTCGGGCGACACCACGGCGGCGTGCAGAGGCTCCTCGGCGCTGACCCGCAGCACGATGCGGCGATGCAGAAGAGGAGCACCTGGCACATCGCATTGGATCAGCAGCTCATCACCGACGGTCGTCACGAGCCACCACCCGACCACGGCCCTTGGGATAGCGTCAGTCTGCCATGGCGTCCAATGCGGGCACCGGCGGCTCGCTCAGCAACGGCCTGGCGCTGCATTCCAGCGCGCCTGAGACTAGGCGCCCAAAGCGGCCGCAGAACGCGGCCAAGCAGGAGGCTCGCACAGCACGAGCGTCAGGAGCCCGAAACCAAGCTCGATGCCCCAAGAGAGAAACTCCCGTTGGCAGGCTCGGGGCACGCACGCCGGGCGGGGGTCAGGGCAGCACTCCCAGCTCGGGAGTGTGGGCGCTGGGAGGCACCTCGCGGTCTGGTCGCACTTCCCCGCAGGGCCTGCGCGGGCGTCGGCGGCGCAGCCGCCATACACCTCCGCGCGGGTTGACAGGGCGCCAAGGCCGCCTGCGGCGGCGCTTGCACAGGCGCCGCCGGCGAGGGCGGCGCTGCTTTGGGGGAGCCCCACCACTGCGCCACCCCGGCGGCGCATGAGCATGGCCCCCCCGGGCAGCAGCGCTCATGCAGAGGCCGAGCGCAGAAGCGAGGCCGCCTGGGACCCTCTCGAAAACGGTGTGAGCCGAACGCAAGCGGAGAAGGCGTGCGGCCTCAAAGCCCAACCGCGAGTACTGTGCAAGAACCTACCCATTCTCATCCTCATCCTCACCCTCATCGTCCTCCTCATATTCCTCCAGCTCCTCACCCTCCTCGCCCTCCTCCTCCTCCTCCTCCTCCTCCTCCTGCGCGCGCCGCGCCTGCCACGTGCTGAACATGCCGTTGTCGCTCATGGCCTCCCACTCCGCCGCCACGTCCACGC